TGCACTGAGGAACTGAAGATATTGAAAAGAAATCCCATAAAATATTTTTACAGAGAACAGCTGCATGTCTGGTCTCTTTAGCTGTGTGTTCATTTCTGACAAGTAGCTTCAAATTTCTCAGTGCAAGATTCTTGTTCTTTCAGCTATTCTGTAAAACTTCTCTTTTAAGCCCAGGCACCACTAACATGCTGCTCTCCTTTCTCCAATGTCACCATACATCTGCATCAGACAGATTATATTTGTTCAGCAATACAGCTAAATTCACTGCCTTTCAAACTTGTGCTATGTATTACCTTCTCCTACTTGACTCTCATTTTAAATAAAACTTTGTTCTTCATCTACTTGGAGACCAGGAAAGGGACAATTTGGTTGCAAAAGGACATGCTCGGGGATCAAACTGTGGGGGGCTTGTGGAATGGGTACAGCTCCACATCTGAGTTTTGATTCACCTTCATCCTCCATCGTTTGGGGTTTTCTGGGTCTAGGAGTAATCCGAGCAGCTCATTTTGACAGATTTATAGTGTTTCATACTGTAATTGGAATCTCACTGCTTTAATGTCTTCATTCAAACAGTTTCTCTGATCATGGCACTGAAAGGGAAGTCTTAAGCCATACATAGCTTTATGTGAAAAAAAGGAGGTTTATGTGATTATGGTAATAGTTCATAAAATCTAGCAGACAAAGAATAATTTAGAATTCATTTATTCATAACAGCAGAAGTTAATATTCTTCTTGCCTACAAAAGAGTTTCAGACATTAATCTTTTCTCCTGGATTTCTGCTATTCTGCAGAGCTAGTTTGGACTGCTTCAGTATTACAGATACCCTAGCTTCTTTTTTTTTGTCCTTTCTAGTCTCTTCAAAACACTGTTTTTCCTTAAATAAATAATGCTGATTCCATGAAGATGGTATCAAAGCTGCCTTCCAACTTTCCTTCAGATTTATGTAAGTATTTGAACAGAACGCTGAATTCTGGTCTCTGTTTTGCAGCTAAGCATTTTACTGATACAGAATAAATCACTTCCCTACAACTGAAGATTTAAGATTTAAGCAACTTAACATATCTTTTCATAATTTGGGAATTTCTTGTTAATGGTGCATTTGCTTTGGGAACAGGGGAATAGTGGATGAACAGTGTGTGCATATCTGTTTATATATGTTATTTATATTATTTCAGTAGGATACTGCTTTTTCCTTTTTTTTCTTTTCTTTTTTTTCTTTTTCTGATGATCCTCCTCTATTTCTTCAGTGTCTGTCTTATCTAAGATGCTTCAAACCTCCTTAAATGTAATTTTAAACTGAGCTCAAAAAAGGCTGGCAACAGCTTCAAATACTTAACTAGTTACTTGGGACCAAATTGTGTACTCCCTTGGCCTGTCAAAAGCCTTGCAGTTGAAAGCAGAAAAAAATTTGGCACATAGCCAGAATTGAAGAGTGAAGACCATAGGCACAATGATTCAGATTAATCTCTGTATTAACTTCACTGAAGCAATACATCTGGAATATATTAAAACAATTTTGCTGTGTGATCTGTCAGTGAAGTGCTATCATTCTAGAGAGTGGCTCTTTAAAGCCCTGTCCTCCAGATTAAATTAGTTTAGCGACGGCAAACTGACAGATCACAGGAGATGCTTTTCCTTAGAGGTGTCTGTGAGGGGAATCTTGGCTTTTCGTGTCAGGCCCAATGCCTTTTCATGTTTCTATCAGGGAGCTGAAAATACAGGAAAAATTGCTGTTAATAAAATTTGTGGATGACAACAGGAACTGCTAGAGAATCTGCTCGAGAAACACGAGTATAGAGAATGCAGGGAATTTCAGAAGAACAGCAGTCTGGCCATTTGCCTTTTGCTTAGTAAGGTGTGTTGGCTGATAAGAATCCCTGACCATACATGCCTCTGTGTGTGTGTGTTGGAAATAACACAGTTCTCTTTTTTGTGAAACGTTGGTGACCTCTGGTGAGCTTCTTGCATGCTCACTCTACCTGCAAGGTGCATAGCTGGAGAGGGGGCTTTGTCCTTTGGGTTAGGTGGGGGTTGGATGGCACTACCCATTCGGGCCATCCAGATCCACAGGATCCCCACCTTCCCAGGCAATCTCTGCAGTTTTGGAAACTTGGCTGGTTTGAACTCTTGTTGTTTACAGCTTTGTTGAGTTTATGGCTGGGGAGCATTGCCCTGAGAGCTTTAAGGGAAGTGACCTTTTGGTTTATTCATTGTCACATGCAGACTGTGAGGAGCAGAAACAAATAAGCTGTTGGCATCACAGAACTGATTTGAAGTGGTTTTGAGTTACAGGCCAAAAAAAAAAGAGGTGGACTCCTGACCTTGAAATTTATGGACACTTGGATACTCACTCTAACAGAGTATTGCTTTCTTTCTGGGTCCTTCAGCTTCAGCTAATCACCTAAAGCTAGGTATACGTTTTTCAATTTAAAAAAAAAAAGCCATATGCTGTAACTAAAAGGGGAAAAGAAAGTTCAGTTCCAAAAATACACTCTGCCACAGAAAAGAGACACCTTTCCGGAATATAAGAAAAGTCCCCAACAACAACAGGCACATCTACCCCACACATCATCATTCCTGTGATGACAGCTAGTGCCTCATTTCTTCCCTGCTTTCCTTGCACAGGCAGTGAGACTGGCAATCCTGCTGGGGCAGCCCCAAAACAGGGGCCTGCAACAAGGGAAGAGGAAGCAATTCATTGGGGTGATCAGCACTTGTCTAAAAGGCAGAAACAGCACGGCTACAAATCATTTGTCTGAGGTTTACACTGGCATCCCTAGTCTCTGCCCCTGGCTCATCAGCAGCAAGTGCCTGGCTGTGCCAGGGCTGTGACACTGTCACCCCGGCGGGGCAGGATGCCGGGCCGTGTTCCCCAGCAGCAGTGGGAGGTCGCACTGGGCACCTTTTTGCCATTTCACCCTTGCCTGGACCACCCGCCCAGCAGAAGTCTTCCAAGGCTGACAGCTGTCGAGTGCCTTTCACACAAGACCTGCCAAGGGGCAAATGAGTTTTTCTGGGTGGCAACGTAATTGGTGAAGAATTATGGTCAGTCCAACAGGAAGACCAAAGGCCATGCAGAAGTGCAGGAGCGGTGAGCATGCAGCAGCATCTGCAGGGTTTTCTTCCTGGAATGGGTAGAGCTTGGCCAAGATCACACTACTGCTGTGGGCTTGCTGCTACCAACAGCAAGACTGGAAAGTACTCGCTTGTTAATTAGTGGTGAGAATAAAATATTTCTGAAATAAGGCGTATTTATACATGGTTCCACGTTGCTAACCACAGCTTAAAGAAAAGAAATCAACCAATGAAGGCACATTAGTTTAATCTTACATGGGCCACAAAGATGAAATGCCTTTTTTAAGAGTGCGCTATCGCAGTGCCCCTACAAACATGGTACAACTGCCAGGGTGCACTCTGAGCCTTATTTTTGGCCTGAACTTCCCAGATCCAATTTCCAGCTACTTGAAGTTTGTAAGCTTCTGAGTAGAAAACTGTGTTTCTCCAAGTTTCTTCACAGGTGCTGTGTATTTTGCCTCTCCCCCTTCCCTTCCCACCCCACCCCACTTTTTGGAGTTACTGATTTCCAGGTGACCTCTAAAGGCGTGTGGGCACATCCCCTAGGCAGGCCATGAGCACGCTGGCAGCAGATCAGCTCCTCAAGGAAGGATGAGCAAGGACTGGCTGTATTTCTGATTATAGGGATAAATGCCCCTTCGCTTTGGAGTGTACATGTCCCAGTGTGGATGACATTTCCAGCATGTGACACCTATGTTCGCTGAAGACTGCGATATTTGGTTTTTTGTCCCATAGTGGGCTGAAGGTCCGATAAACCCCCGCAAGGGATTTGAACTGCCTCGTCCCTGGTGGCACAGGGTTGTCCCCTCCTCTTCTCCCCCCAGCCCCGTCCCCGCCCTGTGGCGAGCCTTCCAAGGACTATGACATACATGGGTGCTGAGGTAACAATTGGCCAGAGAGGCCACAGGCCAGAGGGGTGGCTCTGAGTGCCCACTGCCTCCAGGACAGTAGGAGAAGTGCCATCGCCATCACCACCCTCATCACCACCGGCTCACGCAGGTGAGCTGGGTCCACACCTGAGGGGGAGGGAAGGGTCCTGGGAGGGCCCCCAGCAAGGACAACCGGAGCTCAATTCATGCTTGCAGCACACAGCCTCCCTGGTAGAAGCCTGCCTGATTTTTGCTCTAGAGAGGTGCAGACTTACATAAGATTTATGTTAAATGGCAGCCTGCAAACAGCCTTGAGACCCAGAGCCCCTGGGTGAAGCACAAGGCTGTAGGAGAGGCTGGGTATTTCAAAATGGTTCAAGGGTGTCTCACAAGCAGCAGGTATCGGCTGCTCGAGTCATGGTGGACTGATTTACAGTCCAAGCAATGTTTTTTATATTCTTAGAGATCCCTGATACCCAGTTGCAGTGGTCTAAGTTGATCAGTAGTGGAAAATCTGCTGGTGTTGGGAGGACAACCTAATTCAGGGAGCAATTCAGGGGACAAAGTGTGATGGGAAAGATGGAGACAACTCCTTGGTGACTACTTGCAAGAAGGTCTGTGAGATTTAGGCACTTATCTGGGGCCTAGAAAAGAAATCTAGCCTCTTCATTGTCAAATAGCAGACAAAAATTGTAAGCAGACAGCTTACAAATGCAGGCATTTGTTATTGAGACAGTTTAACTGAAACTTTTATTTCAAAAAGGTTCAGAAGTTTTGGATACCTCATTCCTTCACATGCAGCCATCATTAATTGACCCCAGAGTCCCATCTCCACCCCTCCTTTGCCTTGCGTCGGGTCCTAACCCGTCCCTGCCCCAATCCTGCCTGGTTCCCAGGTGTTCTGAGTCAATGCCTGTGTGGTTGTCATGGTTATCCCATGGTGGAGAGATACATGTGGGTGGTGCCCCTTGCTCTGCTGGAGGCGAGGTGCATAAGACATGAGCGCGTGTCCAGCAGCTGCAGATGGTCCTCAGCTTCTTCCCTGCCAACTTCTTCTCTCCACAGCAGCAAGATGTCAGAGGTGGAAAATGCTTTCCGTAAATTTGCAGTATACGGCGATACATCTGCCAGTGGCAACGACATGACGGGGAAAAACTTCTCCAAGATGTGCAAAGAGTGTGGGGTGATGGATGGGAAAGCCGTGACCAGCACTGATGTTGACATCGTATTCAACAAAGTCAAGTGAGTGTCGCAGGGAGGCACAGGGGGCAGCGCAGCCGGGTGGGAGGAAGGAATAGCAGGACGCAGGCAGGCTCTTGTGTGAGGGGCAGTCCTGGGGGTTTCCCACCCCACTGCCACCCAGCGTTGAGATAACTTTCCTCTTGGTATCCCCTCACCATAGGACCAAGGGTGCCCGCACCATCACCTTTGCTGAATTCCAGCAGGCCATGAAGGAGCTCTGCTGCAAGCGCTTCAAGGGCAAATCGCCAGAGGAAGCGCTGCAGGCTGTGTATGGCCTCATCGAGGGGAAGGAACCCGGCAGCGTGGGCACCACGGTGAGTATGAGTTTGCTAACTCACTGTGCACCTTGAGCTGCCATGGGACTATTTGTCCCTGCTGTAGGGAAGAGCTTGTTTGTGAGCTGTTTCCTAACGCTGGCTGCCTCTTGCTGGCCTCCTTTCTTGCAGAAAGCCACCAAGGCTGGTGGGGTCGAGAGGCTGACAGACACTAGCAAATACACCGGCAGCCACAAAGAGCGCTTTGATGAGAGTGGCAAAGGGAAGGGTCTTGCTGGCCGCAAGGATCTGACTGACAACAGCGGCTACGTTGGAGCCTACAAGGGAGCTGGCACGTACGACCAGAAGCACTAGGACAGAAACTGCTTAAGGAAACAAGGACTTTTCCTCTATAAGATGGAAGGAGAGGCAAATAAAAATCTCATGCAACCAGCCTTCTGTGTCTATGCACACCAAATCTAACAGGGTGGGAATGCATGGCATGGGCACCGGATGGCTCCAAAGAGGTCAGGTTCCCCATCTGGCCATGCTTTGATTGCTGGGTGGTGGAGTTAAATCCAAGCACAAGCTAGCCTTCTGGAGGAAATTCTGTGGGCCAGCTAGTCCACTGCCATCACACTGCTTTGCATTTCCAATCAAGTGAACAGTAGGCTAGTCTCTGAATAGTCACTTATTTTTATTCTCCCCTCCCAACACACTGTACTTTTTGCTGTGATTTTTGGTTTGGGGAGTAGTGTGTGCATATTTTTGTATAGCTGCACTGGCTTACATCCAAGTTGATGGCTTCTGGTGGTAGACAGCCCACCAGTGATGCCTGACCACACACTGAAGAGTGCTCTTGCAGGGCATAGGATGCAACAGGTAGCACAGTGTGGAGAGGGAAAGGGGTACCAGTAACACCATTTCCTGCTTTTTGCTTTACCCTTCCCTCAGGTTAAACCCACTCACCCATTCCTAGCAGTTGGCATGATCGCTCATTACTGTTTTCCCAGGCTTTGGGATGCTGGCAGCTGGGAAAGAGATTGTGCGCTTGAGGAAACAATATTCACGGGATATCTGAAACAGCACCTTTGGGACAGTTTCCCCTGACATTATGGAGAATTACTTAGCTGTGCTATTCCAGTCCTACAAGCCCTCATCATGGGCCATGACATGGGTGCTCAAGGCAAGACACTTGCTCAGAGCATATTGCTCTTTGCCCCATAGCACTCACAAACGTCCTCCTTGCTGCCCTAACCCCAGATAACACAGCAGTTGGGTGGATCTAGGAATTAACAAATACCACTCACTCGCTCTCTCTTACACTGACCTTAGGTACCCATGACCTTTTAAGCTACTTTAAAAAAGATCCACTGTGCCCCTAGGTCTAAACTCAGGTGTGTGAAGTGGTTTGGTGACTTGTATATGTGGCAGAAAGCCCTGCAGAGAACTGAGCAGGTGCATTGGACATAATTGGCAGGGTCTTGGTAGCTGGGGACTGCAGGGGTGACCTGGGAGGAGGAGGTCACAGACCACCCTGTGCTGGCCCACAGCCTGAGCAGGGCTGGAGCAAAAAGATGCCACCAGCAAGTGCTGGAGCAAAGAAACCCCTTGAGCAGGGGCAGGCGCATAGAAGACAGCAGAGGGGGTATGACTCTAGACAGACTGTGGCTGGTGGAGAAGGCCACACCAGAGCAGTGCAGTGAGAAACAAGGACCAGCAAAAGAGGAGGAACCACAGCAGCTGACCCCAATCTCCTGCACTGCCCACGGCCTCCTCAAAGGCACTGAGGGGATGGGAGACCAGGAAGTGGGCAGGAGAGGTGTCTGGGGGAAAGCTGATGTATATCCTCTAAGTGGTTTTTTTTAATTGCTTATTTCTCAATACCAAAATTGATAATTTAAAGTTTATGTTAGTTGGTAATAAAATAAACTGTGAAATTCAGACTCAAGATTGCTTCTTTGCCCAAGAGAGTAGGAATGGGATATAGTAAAATGGAAAGAATAGCACTGGAACATATGTAAAAAAAAAAAATGGGCCTTATGCCTGCTTTTTAATTTTTTTGTATAACTCAGGTCTTTAAAACACATACACAAGGTGACTGTACTCAGCAATGCCATCTTGGTACATCATGTTTTGTACAACAGTTTAAGCAAAATACCTGTAAATTAAGAGATAACAGGATGTTGTACAAAAAAGAAAAGCACTCAATAAAACAATAACAGAATATTCTCACGTAGCTCTGCTTTTGGCGGCATAGCATTCCCTGTTTAAGTACTGTCAGCAGGTAACTGCAATGAATATTAATATTTCAGAGCTATGATTGCTATTCCTGATGCTTTCTCTTATTAGTTCCTGAAGTGGTTCTACTCATCCTGTTGCTCTTGAGATGCTCCTGCAAAAACATGGCTGAGAGGCTGCAGGGCTGTATGATGGTACCCTAGACCTGGACACAGCTCTTTGTTTTCTGTGCTTTGGTGCATATGTCATAATACCCTCATCTTCTCAGGATGAAGGGCTGATTGATTTCTTCCCCACAACATAGCACTATGTGGGGAGCATAGCTGGTGCATGTTACAGTGTAATCAAAGATACCAGTTTGAGGTTCTCCCAGTATTTTCCACAGCCCCTCACCTCCAAATGCTTATTAATTCATGATGGGTACTAATCAGCAGGGTCCTGCAGAAGCTTGGTGGCCAAGAAGAAAGGCATACCGGCTCCATGGGCCCAGCAGCATAGCACCACCAAATAATGCAGTTTTCAGGCAAAAGATGCAGATACCAGCAGTCTCACAGCTGTATCAGTGTCCAGGTTTGGTGTGGCATCTGATGTCTCCATCCCTTCTAGCTGCATTTCAAACACCTTGGGATCTTTTCATTTTGGGGGAAAGGAAGAGAAGGACTACCCTCAATAACCAAGCAAACCTTGGTGTATTTCTTTGTTCAGGCCTCAGCTTCCTTGTAATTAAATGACTCAAGAAATTGCCCACATACAGTTCTGCAAACAAACACAGGAATGTGTTGTATTATTTGTTTCTTTTTTTTTTATATATAT